GTTGACCAGGATGGTCTTGATCTCTTGACCTAGTGATCCACCCGCCTCGGCCTCCCAAAGTGCTGGGATTACAGGCGTGAGCCACCGCGCCCGGCTGAGAAGGCCTTGTTAATAGAATATCTATCATCAGGATCTCAGTCGATGGGGTTTCTCTTTTAATGAAGTCTCTACACATTGGGTTAGCTAGATCTCTGCTAAAGAGTTGATGGGGTATTTCTTGATTAGGGGATACTTAATATCCCCAGCCCCAGCCAGAAGCTGTGAAACCTCAAGTCCTATGGAGGGGAGAAGGACTGGAATGTACCCCAGCTCCCTTGACCCCAGAGCAGGCTCTTACACTGCCCCTCCCCTTAGACACCATGACCCCATCAGGTCAATCCCCTGTTGCCATGGTTATGGAGGTCTGCAGCTGCCATCTTAGACGTGCTCTTTGGGGAAGTCCATCTAACAGGAGGACATTGGTTTGGAGGTGCACCTCCTGAAGAATGGGTGGGGAAGGCTTTCTCTGGGATCAAATTCAAATAAATCAAGTATTTATTGAGTGCCTACTCTGTGCAAGGCACTGTGCCAGACTTGGTGCCTGGCAGCCCTGAGAAAGAAGAACTTACAGGGCTAGGAGGACAGAGGCTCCCGAGCTGATCTGGGAGTGCACCCACGTTCCCCCACCCTGGTACTTCCGATGCTCCCACCTCCACCTCCAGTGACTTTTAAAGCCGCTTAGTGCCTTTCCTGTAACTTTGGATCCTCCTTTTCTGTCCCCTGCTGTCTCAAGGCCCCAAGTTAAAGGGTTAAAGCCGCTGGAGCTTGGGGAGAGAACATTGTGGAAAGGAAGGGATTATGCCCTTTGTGGAATCTTTCTTTTTTTTTTTTTTAATTTAATAAATAAAAGTTGGATTTGAAATTTTGTCCTGGTGAGAAAAAGAGAAGAGGAAGGGCGAAGAGTGGTTCAAAGATTTTTTTGTTTGGCAAATTGGGGACTACCCACCCATGGGCGAATATTCTATTGCGCCTGTTTGCTTACTATGCTCGCGGTTAAATAGTTTATCGGCAGGCGCGGTGCCTCACACCTGTAATCCCAGCACTTTGGGAGGCCGAGACAGGAGGATCACCTGAGGTCAGTAGTTCGAGACCATCCTGGCCAACACGGTGAAATCCCCGTCTCTACTAAAAATACAAACATTAGCCAGGCGTAATGGCAGGCGCCCGTAGTCCCAGCTACTTGGGAGGCTGAGACAAGAGAATCGCTGGAACCTAGGAGGCGGAGATTGCAGTGAGCAGAGATCGCACCACTGCATTCCAGAGTGGGTGGCAGAGCGAGACTCCGTCTCAAAACAAAACACAAAATTGTTTATCGGTCAGATCCTCCAGCCGTGTTCAGTTTTTGGGCGTGCAGTGCTTTCTGCAGAGTCGGGAAGACTCACTGGTTTCTACCCTGGCCCTTTCTGGACTGCACCAACCGACCCTCGTCAGTGCAGTGACGCGGCCCGAGCGCGGGCACCGCGGTTGCAGTGCGGACCACTGCGCGGCCCCAGTCCGGCGGTGGTGCGGCTCCCGGCGGGCGGACGCGGCCTGGCACGTCACCCGCCCCCTGCCCCGGGCCTGCAATCAGTTGTGCCCGCCACGGAGTTAGCAGAGGAACAAAAGCCACACTGTGGCAGCCATTCCCAAGCCACAATAGGGCTTTGTGCGGCCCCCGCCTCCCAAGGTTACCCAGCTGGGCCGAGGGGGCGCACAGGCCGCTCCCCCCAACCTGGACCCGACTCCCAGCTGCACCCCGCGTCAGGCGGTCCACCGCGCGGGCCGCAGGAGGTGCTGCTACGGCTGGGAGGGGGCCGGCGACCCTGGGCGGGCTCGGGTTACGACCCTCCTCCCCACCCTGACGCCACTCCCGCCCCCGCCCAGGTGCGAAATCTGCGCTCTGGCTCGGAGCGCTGCTTCAAAGGCGCTTTGAAGAAATCCGAGTTCCGAAGACTTCTTTAGTGGGCTGGGGGCTGTGACTGAAGAGACCCGGGAGAGGGGGCTGGGGTGGAGGAAGGGCAGGGGGTGCCTTGGAGCTGGTCTGAGTGAGGCGGCGGCCTAGGGTGGACCCCCGGGATCCCGCCCCAACCCCGCCGGGCAGGCTCCTCCGGACCCCCCAGAGTCTGGCCCTTTCGCCTCCCGGTCTCCGCCTGTCCGGTGCCAGCTCCCTCCCGCCGCAGCCTCGCGGTCCTCCCCTCCCCAGCCCCTCGGCCCCTTTCATCTTCCCTAGACTCCGCATGGGGTTTTGCTGGTTTCTGGGAGATAAAAACCGCTTCAAATAGCGGCGGCGCGCTGCCAGGACAAACAAGGGCCGGGCAGGCCATGTGCGCCTGGTTACCGGCCCCGGGTCGGGGCGCCGGGCTCCAGCGGGCCCGGGAAGGGGTGGCGGGCGGAGCTCCAGGCACCCAGGCTCCGGCGATGACTCCCAAAGTGGGGGGCCCCTGTTAGAAGCGGCCTGCGCGCGGCCTCGGTTCCCGCCCAGGTCTTAGGGAGGGGCTGGTGGGGACCGCCCGCTAAGCGCTCCGAGCCCGTAGCGTTCCCCACAGTCGCTGAGTCGCCGGGGCCGCCGCGCCCCCTGGTGAAGTTATTGGGTGAGCAAGCTGGGCCTGGACTTGGACTTCCCTAGAACCCGCAAATTGTGAAAACCGTTCCACAAACGTTACATAAACAGTATGGGGGAGGGGACAGTACTTGTGCCAGGCCAGGGCGGGGGCAGCGGGCGGAATAGCACTGTTCTTTCTCTCCCGTTCACCTTACAGGGTAAGATGCAGGCACCTAACCGATCATTATAACCTGTTGGTGAAAATCGAGGTTTCATGGAAGGCTGGTGGAAGTTGCAGGTCGGGGCGATTTCCTGGGAGTATCTGGGTTTGGATGGTGTTAGGACTAAGGTACAAACGGAAACTTGATCGTGAGTCCTCAATGCTCTCCACTTATTAGTCAATCACTGACTCCCTCTTCTACCTCCAACCTGCCCACTTCCCCTTCTCAGGGACAGCTTTCCCAGCCAGGTTCCCCAAACCATCCCCAGTGTATACCTTAGGCTTTTCAAGCTTTCTGTGACTTCCCAGGTGACAGTGAACTCATTTCAATGGGGCCATGGGAAAGGGTTAGAGCAGGGGTCCGGTCCCTGTCAGTGGTCTGTAAAGGTACTGCACTGCAGGATGAGCTAAGCAAGCTGAGCACCGCCTCTCAGATCAGTGGCATTAGATTCTCAGAAACGCGAACCCGCCGGGCGCGGTGGCTCACGCCTGTAATCCCAGCACTTTGGGAGGCCGAGGCGGGCGGAGAGCCTGAGGTTGGGAATTTGAGACCAGCCTGGCCAGCATGATGACACCCCGACTCTACTAAAAAAAAAAAAAAATACAAAAATTAGCCAGGCGTGGTGGTAGGCGCCTGTAATCCCAGCTTCTTGGGAAGCTGAAGCAGGAGACTTGCTTGAACCTGGGAGGC